TTTTATCAGCATGATAACTCCCGACCACACACTGCTCGCATCAGCCAACGTGCTCTGCAAGGTGTACACATGCTTCTTTGGCCACCGTTCTCTCCTGATCTCTCACTGATCGAACACATATGGGATGTGATTGGACACCATTTGCAGATCTTGCTATTGCCGTGTTCAGAAGACGAACTTTGTCAAATGGTTGACAGGGAATGGAGAGCTCTTCCTCAGTACACCATCCGTAGTCTCACTAACGCTGTACCTAGATATGTCGCTTTGTGTAATGCCGTCGAAGATGGTCCTGCAACCTACTCAGCCGAAGCTGTTCTCGCTGCGTATTATGCATAATTATTTCGAAATAAAGATCACTTATTGTTCGTTGCTGTCTTTCTCTGTTTGCTGAGTTTCATCACTTTTTGGCCACTTTTTCTTCGTGCTCCATTTTCAATGCAGGGTAGTGTACTTAGCGATTCTGAGTTTAAATCTCAATTTCTGAATGTTTCGTTTCTCTGCACTTGAGCTAATGTTTCATAAACTTGATTAATTTTGTTACTTCAGTATTGTCTTTTGATGTAAGATTCCTGCGAAAAAATAACATTGATTCTTCAGATAATAATTTTAAAATTATAGGAATCAATAAGTGTCCGTAATTACCGCTTTTACATCTAGTTTCATTTTCTCATGTTTATTTCTTAATCATCAGATAACTTTTACAAATCCTTCGATTCAAAGCGTGCTTATAGAAGTTTATTCATATCATTATTAGTCCAAAGGGATTTGAATCCCGAAGGACTATTAGTTTCGTTTTGGCATTTTGCGTCGGACGGATAAATGTCGGTTCACTTTTCAAACTGTTGCCATAAAATGTTAGAGTCCTACATTATATTTGAAGAAATTAAATAATGAAAATCTGCGTAAATGTATGTATATTTCTCACATTGTCATAAAATAACGGTACATAGAGTCATCGAATTTTGAATAACGTAATCCTCCAACGAATATGAGCATGTGGAAGACCAAATTTGAAAATTTGAAAATTTGTTTTATGATCGAATTTCCTATTTTTTAAAAACTTTGACGAATTTTTAATTAACAAACTCAAGGATTTCAAAGCGAGCAATGGCAACGTTGTGCAGAAAAAAAAAAAAACATTTTTATCTCCAGCGCGTGAGTCTCTGTATCGGAAATTCTAAAGATATGCTCGTTTTAAAACTATTTTGCGATATTGCTGTTGCACTGGATCTTATGGTTTAAGTGCGAGGAACATGATATTTAATAAAGAAAGGTAACACACAAAATGTTAAAAAACGCCCCTTTGGACGTAATTTAAAATCTGAAACATTTCAGATTTTTTTTTTAATTATATATCTTTCTTGTTAAATTAATTATAAATCCATGTTTTTCTCTTAATATGAATCATGATAACATGAATGGTAATTTACTTCTGTTTTAATAAATCGAGCTACACATTTAAATACAAAGTCTTTAAACAGAGACTTCAAATAAAGATGCTTTTCAGTTTTTTTTAATTACAACAGATTTGAGTTTATTCCGTTTACAAATGCAATTTTAGCCCATTTGCGACCGAGTCGCTGAACACCAGTAGTTCGTTTCGAGTTTCGAATATCGGCCAACGGGCTGGCTGCATGGGCGCTTTCGTAGTTTTCCCCATATGTAACGTGGATACGAGCAAGGGTTCCTTAGAAAGGCTTCCATGAAGGCATCTCTCCCCTCACACAGCCAGCCCTCGAGTATTTTTCTATAATTAAATAAACCAAACTAAATGCATTTTAAAACTCTAGCCTCAAACTGGCTTTTCCTTCAGTTCTCTTTCATAGAATTCTTAAAGCGCCACCAATTCCAAAATGGTTGTTGACTTTCGTGTAAAAACATTACGAAAAATTAGTCGCTTTTTCAATGAGGGGCGCGTGAATAATCAAAAGGCATATTTAGTTTGTCTTCATATGATTACAAATAATTCTTATTTTATTTTATAATAAACACGCTTCTCATTATATTCCCTCAAAGAATTGCCTTTTTCTCATGTAACTTTAGACCAATAAGCAGAAAGTTTGCTTTAATTTTCAATTATTTTTCCTTCAAATAGCTTACTAATGTACTGATGTACCCAAACGAGTTAAACCAGCTCGAATTATGGATCATTTTACTTTTTCCTTCATTAACGCCTCCATTTCAGTAAAAATCTCAAGGAGAACGATACGCTTGAATCAAATATTCAGAAACAAAGTTGGCTCTTACCTTAATGCTCTTGTATATTTATTTATTTATTTATTAGTATAACTCCGATCTAAAGGTCTAGCTGATCCCAAGTTTCAATCACAAGGAAGATGGATGGTCCAACTAAATTGCATACGTAATAATTTAGCATTAGAAAATAAAACTTCCATTTAAAATAAATACAATGCTTCTACAAATCTTTACAATCAGTAAGTCTGCCCCAGCAGCCTGCCACATTACAGCCTTCAGAAAACTAAACAAAAGACAAAACTGTTTGTCGTATATACGTACATACATCATATAGCTATCGTTTTTTAGCAGACAATTTTTGTTGCTATTTTATTTTTCAAAGTGACTACCAGTTCATAGCAGATGGAGATTCATGTAATGTATTACAATCTTGTAAATCAAGTCAAATAGTTATCGGTGTACGAAAGTGAGGGCCGAAACATATAAAAAGCCATTTTCGTATTTAATGATATAGTGAATGTAAAAGTGAGTAAATATGTTAAATCTTGCCCGCTCTTTGAGGGGGAACTAGAAAGAACATAAGGACATCTGTATAGTAGATGGATACCTACGGCTTCTTTTCCTGTCCCTAGCATCTTTATCCCTGAACTGGGTTCCGAATGTCTAGAGACATGCTGCTCGCACCAAAGCTTACAGCTTTGGCTCGCACTACCGGTTTCCATAACAAAGGTTAGACGAATGCCTGTTAACCTGGATGTCGCTGCAGGCATGTTCCTTTTCATAAATGGAAAAAAAAAGAAAAAAAAAAAAAAAAGAACTCTTTAATACACATTATCGAACATGGAAGTCCCGTACTATGCAAAATTTATAGCATTTTGGGAACCAAACAAGAAAATATTTGTAAAATTCGGGGATGACTACTTCAATGGTTTCTTGCTTTAGAATTGAGTAGCGCTAAATTTCTGTTAACTCCATCTGTAAAAGGATTGGCAGTATCTTTGTGAAGAGACCCTTTAAGGGTTCTTTTTAGCACTAAAGATTACATATTCATTTCAATATTCCGTGGCATCTGGGTACTTACATATTATCTCGTCTACCGTGAAACGTTTTCCATGCAGCAAGAATTAGCTCTAATTACCGATATGTAGGATGTTACAAGACATAATATCTGCACTTTCGTTTGATGTAGCCCCCAACTGATTTTCGATAAGCGATCTTTTATTTTTAAGCAAGACTATAAATTAACTGTTATTGCTGTATATTTCCTCGCATTTTTGAAAATAGAAATGAGTTCGAGGGCTGTAGAATCACGTTTGTGATGTACTTAGAATCATTCATATCTCGAGAGGATTACCATCTGCTGACTGAGGAACACAACAGCTGAATATGGTCGACAAATCAGTAATAGATTGGAAAAATCACCTGGGGGAAGTTTGCACTCATAGCTTTCTAAACAGAGCTTCCAGTAAAATAAGATTTCAATTTTTCATGAAGTTCAAAAGCGAAGTTCATCAACACTTCAGCAGCAATGGCTATTTGGTGGATTATGCAGTGAGACTGATGAATGTATTATTGTAAGTGTGTAAGATATTTCTCCCGCCTTCTTAACATGCCTTCGTGGTGTAGTGGTTAGCACGCTTGGCTAGAGATCTGTGGTTCGAGTCCCAGGGAGGGCATAGCTCATTTTTCACCTCTCCTGCTTTAAAAAAATAACTAATGTCTCTGTAAGTGTTACAGACAGAAATGTGGCTCATGATTGCGTATTAATGTTTCCCACAATTTCCGCCGAATCTTCGCCAACTTTCATGGTTCGATGATTGCTAACTTTTATGGTCGGCGAGATAATACATAGGAATTCCAACTTTTAGTAGTATATCATAAATATATACGTTTATTACTTTTTTCGGGGTGAGCGGAGGGCCGCAATTTTGACATGCTTGCTCTAAACATATCTAAAGGAATACCAAACAACATCCCATTCTAGATTATCGATAACAACAACAACAATATCAATGTCAAACAATATCGTGATAATAGTGATAAGCTAATATGTTGAGAGTCGGTTAACTTGGTATGAGTTTCCATTGCACATATACCTAACTTAAACATTCTTCATATTCGTTTCGTCAACTCTACCGAGCTAAAAATTCAAGACTATTGTTTTGATTATACTAAAGCGTATTATGGGTATGCTATCTGCCTACAAGGACGCGGAAGAAGTTTTAGGAGAAACTGGCCCATATTCATATTACAGATGTGGAAAATTTACTAAAATGCTATGTGACAATCCTGCTCCCTGGGATTTCAACAGAGATCACAATAAGAAATTAGAATTTTATCCAAACTGCCAGTCATAGACAGTTCAAAACAGTAGTCCAGAAAATGAATCTTTATTGATATATTACATTCGAAATGTTTTCTAATTTTTAGAGGCGTGTTAATTAGTTCTTTATAATTTTCTGCCTTTTAATGAATCATAAAACTCATCGCTGTGTTCTTAAAACATTTTGTGGATCTGACCAGTCTTTGGTATTCTGAGATTAGAGAAGGATAATGACTATTTCCTTAAACTGAGAACCAAGAAAAATTCACATCTGAGCATAGGTTAGCATTTCGTCAATTTATTACTTTAAAACGAGAAACTCTGACTTCGTAGTCGAAAACAGTACTTCAAAATGCATCAAAACTGCTAATATATTTTTAATCCAAGTCATTTTTGATCAATGTTATTAGTTCATTAATTTTTATTTCTTAATTTTCTCAAGTTAATTAATTTGGATGCACATTTCTTTATCTTCCATTAGGAATATGAAACGCAGCTAACATTTCGGCAATCATGGATAGATGATAGACTGAAATATGATAATAAAAACAAATTTCCATACTTGACGATGAATTTACCTCACAAAATATGGAAGCCTGATGTATTTTTTTCGAATGAAAAATCTGGGGAGTTTCACAATATTATTGTGCCAAATAATTTCATCAGAATTTATCCCGATGGAAATGTGCTGTACAGTGTAAGGTCAGAAGTTTTATTATAACCTTTTTTTATTTTTATATTTTACTTTTAAATTAATCGAAACAATCGATACCTTAATAACCAGCTCTGTTGAAGTTTTATTATGGTATATGGAAGAAGTAAACAGAAGTGTCAAACTTATGCAAGAAACGACTTCAGACCAGAATTGGCTTTATGGGAAACTATTTCGATTTTAAAATAATTCTTCTGTCAGAATACGTCTTCTTAAAAAAGAGACACTTATTTGTTCTCTCCTTCGGAAACGGCAGAGCTTTCTCTAAAACCATTGCTGATTTAAGATTCTTTTTATGCTTAAATTTGTAATTCTTTCCCTCCACTTCCTTTCTTTTTAAATTTCAGGCCTTTCCAGAAAATGCAGATTAGCTGAGAATTCAAATATTGAAAGAAAACGTTATATAACAGTAGATTAGAGGATGTTCCCACTTCTGTTTGGCAACGTTCTTCCGGAATCCGTTATCAGATCACTATGAAATGAGAATCTGAATCTAGCTTAAGCTGTTTAAATAAGCTTAAATTCCTAGTGTTTCATGCCGGTCTTAGGCTCAGATAACCCTTAGTTGAGTAACACTTTTAATATTTATACTGTCAAATTTTAATAGTTTAATTTATCCTTGTAAGTCACAGAAAACTGTTCTCTTGCATTTTTGCTTTAATTGGAACTTTATCAGTTTATAGATGCAAGTAAATTATTTTAATTACATTTTTAATTCAAGATTTAATTTGATAAGTACTGCCATTTCTTAACGGGAACGAATATTCGCTGATAGCATACGCGCTCTAGTTAATTTTTTTCAGCGAAGTTTAAATCTTAAATGTAGAGTGAGGCTTAGCCCGAACTTTACAATGTGGTAAGTCGAAAGAGAATTTGGCTAGCATGCTTACTTATAAAGGGTTTTTTTAAGTTACTGGTGTAAATCAATTAACTCATTAAATTACTATAGGCAGCACAATTAAAATATTCTCTAAAATGGCTGCCGAGTGCATTACTGGCAAGCACCCTTTCCTGCATTTCATTTGAATCATTGTTTCTCTCTCTTTTTATATTTTCAAATTCTCATATTTTTATTTAATGAATATCTGAGATTTCCAATTTTTTGCTCATCTATGTGTCATCCAGCCACACGCTTCACTTAAGCAATTATTTAAGTCATTACAGTTTCGTCATGGTGTTCCAAACCCGATTTTTCAACAGGATTACCTTCGGCCACATGTAGCTCATATCAGATTAAACGCTTTCTTTGAAAAATGTGCAAATGTTTCCTTGGCAAGCTCTATGCTTTGATTCCTTGTAACAGAGAATCTATGTAATGTGACAATATCAGTTGAATACCTGTCATCCCCCTACACAAAATAAAGGTGAACAATGAAATTGGGTCAACTATGTATGATCGAGAATATCCTAAGATACCATTGGAGTACTCATAGAGCTGGCTATAGCAGTATATCGTCTAAAATGTGCATTTGCATCCTTATTGATCTTGTACTTTCAGCCATTGCAGCCTTATCGGTACAGAAAAATTAAGTGATATTTTCTGCAATTTTTCGATTATCTGTCAATGCAGTTTGTCTATTCTATTACGGTGAAACATTTTCTCTGTCAGGTAGCATAATTTATATACGTATATAAATTACGTACTCCATATGTGTTACTGAAACTCTAACTATAGACTGATTGAGAGTAAGTTGAGAAATTCCGTCTTAAAGTTCTGTAGATCCCCTTGGCAAAAGTACTTACACTTTTTATAAACTTTACATCACTTATAAAGCAAAGATAAGACTAGAAATCTAATAAATGCTAAAGCTGTCGAAAAAAAAATTATGCATCTAAATATATTAGACCAGAAATAGTAAAATAATGCTAGATGTCTGGTTTTTTTCCAACATTTATAATAGACTATTGACTAGTATTTAAATAAGTAATACCAGAAAAGTAAATGATTCAAAAGAAAATTTTGAATTTTAAATAATGGTAAAATTTACTGCCATTTTTTACTTACTGCTTTGTTAAAATCCTAACATTAAATAAAAAATTACTAAAACTATAACTTCACTTTCTTAGGATATCTTTGAAATTGTCTTCTCCAACTGACTTAGCGCATTTTCCTTTCGACAAACAAATGCGCTCAATAGTATTCGCAAGCTGTAAGTTAAAATTTTAAATACATTAAATTGTTTTTTTAACAGACTAAATATCAATTTTTGATTTTCATTCATTATGTTTTAAATTTTAGATGGATATACAACTAAAGATTTTGTATTCTTATGGAAACGCATAAATCCTGTGCAAGTGACAAAGAACCTGCATCTGACGAAATTTACCTTGAATTCGGTTTTCACTGATTATTGCACAGCTAAAACTAATACAGGTTAGAAAACTTTTTTAATTATTTTGTATTTCTATCTAAAGAAAGAATGTGAATACGAAATTAAAGATGAAATATTATCGTACACAATTTTGTGGAGAGAAATACAACTGTTTTAAATATTGTACTTGTATAATTGTTCATAAATAATAACAGACCAGAATGATGTTGTACTTATATCTTAAATCAGAAATTCAAAGGTCTATTTCCAATTAAGCGTCTTTCATGTTTTGTATTTTACGTATATATATGTGATATAAAACATGTAATAAATTGTAGTAAGCTCGCTTAAAAGTTTCCAAGAGCTGCAGCTCCAAAATGTTCAACACGTTTTAAAAAAAAATTTCTAGACTAAAATTGGTTTTTTTAAAAAATTATAATTACTACTTTGCTTGATAAATTATATATATATATATAATAAATGACAAAAAGATGATTTTGTTGTTTTTAAATAAAAATTTGTGATATATTACATTTATATATATATATAGTCATTTATTACAGTCATTTCCGCGCAATATGCTGTTGAAAATTTATCAGTATAGAGAGCTGACACTGCATCGGGGAGGAATCGAAATTTTCGAGTGAACTATTATAATTAAATAATTTAAAATGGTTCATCAACTAATTTTGGATAACTTAAAGCAGAGATTTTCAACGGTGAGGTGTGTTCAATTAAGTCTGATGTACCTCCTCTTGATAACGCTATATCAGATTTGATTTCATGCCTCATCCTATGTATTTATTTTTTGTGTCTTTTGAGGTTTTAGTATTTCCCACTTCTTTAATTCTTCTGACTTTTGGTTAATTTTACATATTTCTAGGGAATTTTGAAATTACATGGTATCGAATTTCACTTCTTTTGAATCTTTATGGAATTGGTTCTAAATTTCTTGCTTATTGTAAATACTGTATAACTATATATATATCAAAAACATTTAAAAAACATAAATAAGTAAATTTAAATATGTATGTGTGTGTGTGTGTGTATGTAAGAAAAAGTATGCATATCAAAATATTAATTTTATTTTTCAGTAGTCCCTTAAATTTTCATTTTAATTTGAGTACTTTCCCTTCCTATTCTGAAAAGAGTAATTGCTTATAATAAACCTTTGTAAATTACGTCATTTCAAAATTAATAGCCATCATAAATGACTTTTACATAACGCTGATGATGGAGGTGGATATGGGAACTGAAACTCAAACAGCCAATAATAAATTTAGAAAGTTACTAATTAGCCAACAAAAACTATTGAAATCGAAATTAAGTCACTCTGAACCAAGATTTCATCTCGAACATGTCTCACTTGCTTTCCCTTTTTTCTACTGGTGAGATGTTCTGCCGCTGCTTATCTCCTTACCACAACGACATCAAAATATAAAGTTCACGAGCAGTTGCGATCAATTTATTTGTGTTTGAAAATGACAGAGAAAAATATACAATTCAGCCAACTACTTATTTATATTTAAACATCTATCTTTGGTGCACAGAGCTGGTGCATTAAAACAACTCTTTTATTGTTAACATCATATTTTGATGCAAACACCGATAAATCTGAGTAAAACACGTCCATTTTTAATGAAATTTTGCATTTGTCAAGTAAGCAAGAAAAGTGGCAACAGGAAATTGGAGAGGCAGAGAAAGAATACTTAGTTTAAAAAAAAAAGTTTGGAAAGATGGGTTTAGTCAGGCTTTTTCAATTGGTTCTGACTGATTATAATTTAATTTTATTTCGCAGATTTGAATATTAGATTAGATGAAACATTATGTAAGTGAGTGCGACATTAATATCATAAAAGAATCATGTGAGAAGTACTAAATTTGAAGTAACGCAGTTTAGAGATATTTATTGCAACAATTTACTATTTTTAAAATAGAAAGGTGAATTAAACCAAAATGAAAAGGAGCTAGTTAAAAGTAGAATTTTTATCTTGCACTCACATATATGCAATCCTCCCCATTAAAATTGCAACACCTTGAAGGAAAGCAAATACAAAAAAGTTATTTATTGTACGTAAACAGTACGGTATGGAGAAAAAAGGATTAAATTTATAAGCATTTTGGGGGTTTACATGGTTGCGAAATTAGTAGAAATAGCTACCACCCCTGGCAGCTAAATCAGCCCAAACCCGGTTAGGCATGGAGTCGAACTGGGCTTGAATGACAGAAACAGGCAACACATTTCATGCTGCTTCAAGTCTATGCTACACTTCATCAACCAATTAGGCTTAGAGGGATGGCGGGCTAGTCTCTGAGCAACCCATGACTAGATATTTTCAATTAGTGACAGATCGGGAGACCCTGCAGGCCAGGGAAGTAATCGAATACCTTGTCTGTCAAGGAAGGTCAGAACACGACGTGCAACATGTCGTCTTGCATTATCTTGTTGGAACATAGTGTTTGGCAAGCCTCGAAGATAGGGTACAATCACTGGACGTAAGATGTCGGAAATGTACCGATCTGCGTTCAAATTACCGTCGATCGGAACCAGAAATGTGCGTGTCCTGTGCCCAATGACTGCCGAAAACAATCACACCGGTGCATTTCCCCTATGCCGATATCGAATGCAAGGAGGCAATGGGCGGTCTCCTCTGTGCCTCCAGACACGTATAGAGGTGACAGGTTACGGAGGACGGCGACGCCTGGTGTTTAACATAGGTAAACAGGCGTGTATCCCACGTCATCCCCTATCTAGGAACAAGAACTCCCTGGGGCCCCGTGAGGCTGCTATGGGTCTTTATTATACAGATCTAAAGATTAATACATGGTCAAACAGGGGTTGAGGATTATTGTTTGACAATGGTTACGTGACAATAGCTTTGTGGGGTGTGCATGGCTTTTAGACATGTATACAACCATCAGATTACTGATTACTGTACGCAGAACCGGGATTCGGCTAAAAAGACGACATGTGCCACACCTGTATCCAGCTTTGTCGTTCGGCACGGAGTCTCCGTCTCTCTCTATGCTGCATTGTCAAAGGAAGCCGAAGTAATGATCGCCATACTGATAGTCCACGCTGCCTCAAAAGTTCACGCACGAGCTGATACTGGGCGTGTTACAAACATGCTCATTTCTTGGCTAATGGTCCGTGATGTGGTTGTACGGTTTTGGAGGGCTGACCTCACAATATGTCTGTCCTCTCGGGCGTTAGTCATAGGAAAGCGTTGAGATCCTGCATGCGGTTCAGTATGACTCTCAGTAACCCATTGATTCCATATTCACATGAGAGTGGTTGGATGTCAACCAGTGCGATGGACGAAATCACGGAATAATAGTTCACACTCTCGATACCCAAAGATCCTGCATCTATCAAATGGCGACATTTGCTAGTAAGCATTTCTCCTTCTTTTTCAGGGCATAACACGATATTCTGAGCAAACTTCGACCTTAGAAAACGCTTTACGAATGAGAAATCCATTACACAGCTTTTCTATTATGCAGTGCTTTAGATGTCGTTTCTTCCTCCTGCGTCGTCTAAATGCGCTGAAATACTAATCATTTGCATTATCACAACCTGTTCTTCCTTTTATGTGATTTTTGACGTTTGTCAGATCATTCCTTCCTAGTTTTGCAATTTTAATGGCCATCAATGTACGTTGCTTAAATTATCATTAGCATTTTTTCGTGATCCAGACATTCATTTGTTTCTTGACCGTCCTGTAATGTTAGTGCTCTGACTTTGTCTCTGGTTTACCTTCATTCTTTTTTGTAGTTTTCAGACTTAAATACTTAATGCGTTAGAATTTAATAAAGAATTCAAAAGAACGCATTCAAAGCTTACAGTTTACTAAAACGTATTTTCGTTCTGAGTGCTTTGTTAGCAATGTTCTTTATATAAAATTACACATGTGTAAGAGGATAACAATGCTGGTCGCGTTTGCATCAGTTAAAGAACTGATCCAGTAGATTATTCTAATACAGTTTTTTTGCTTCACTGAAATGTTTAATCTATCACTAGACTACTTCAAAAGGGCTTACCGCTGTTTTCCATGGCGCATGAAGTAAAAACAATAATTTAGAACAGAAAGTTAAATAATAGTACTTAGAATATCTAGAATAAAAGGAATGTATATTTCTTCTAGCAGAATATAACTTGTCGATTATGCAGAGATTATTGTACTGGGTTTTAAAACGCAGTATTTCACGTTTTGATTTATGTTTTCATATTTTAATCCTAACACTAAAAATGTTCGACTCCTGTTCCTGTAGTTGCAGGATATACGTCAATTGCGATATCCAACTTCTGTTCACTCGCCTTTTAATTTTTCACTCCTCCCCAGAGAAGCTGTAATGTTGTCTGAATTTCCTCTTTTGCTGCTGGCAGTAGAAACGCAGGAACATTAAACCAAAGATAAAAATCACCAGATATAAGATTTGGAGACTCCATGACCATCGTAATAATGTTAAGCCATCTTCCTTATGTCGACTAATTCAATAACGTGGAGTTTCATCATTCAAGTAGCGATATACATCATAGTGCCAATAAAGTGAAGCCTCATCTTGCTGGAAATCTGAAATTTTCTTAATCATCTTTTGCTTGAGAAAATAACTTCAACTACAACACATCAAGATGTAACACGCCCGTCATTGTGCACTCGAAGCGAAAATGAGCCCTGACAGAAGGACAACGTATAGGCTCCTTATGAAGACGATGTGATACTTTACCGTTTAGCATAGATGAAATGTCTCTTTGTCACTGAATATTTGCTTGGCAGAAAAGTCGTCATCTTTCACGCGCTTATAAAAGTACCAATTCGATGTGATTCATATCGCTTGACATACTTAGCTTGCTCTAAACAGTGTAACATCTGCATAAGCTATGGTTCAGTTGCAATATTCGTCACAAAAGCTTTTAAATGGTTGGTCGCAAAATAGCAAGCTCATGGCTAGCGGAATTATTTGAATTTTTCGGGCTATGCATGAAATTCTTTCTAACACTCTCTGCTTCATTAAAAATGCTTGGCAGTCTGAGACGCACTCATTTTGAAACCCCCGTATTAGAGTAACAATGGATAAACATTTTGCACATTCTAAAACACAAACGCTTACTGGTATGAACAAAATTCATCACTGTTACAAGAAAATTGTGCACACACAAATTAGAAAATATAAGCTTTCATTGCGTGACTATCAATATACATATGCGATCTGTAACTTCGAAATTAAAGTCCATACTGATACTTATCTTCCTGATCTTGAGATAATTTCTCAGGTCAAGTTTTCGGATTCATCGTGTCCAAGAGAAGCGAACAACTACTGATGGCCAAAGCCTTGAACATATGGTAAGCGATAATAAGACATTTTTCTTCTTCATCCGAATTTTAATAGAGAATGATGGAATTGAAAGGTTTCCTGCAAACAACATCTCGAGGATATTTAAAGGCTTTCGGCTAGATGGTATTGTAAATGCCGCATGCTCCAAACGCATTATTACACTTATAAACGTCCAAGCCCATGCCTTTTCTAGGATTCTAACTTGGACTCAACTTTACAGCAGTTGGCATCGCTGAACACTAGCCCGATCAAGACTTTATGAACTCTATAAATTATTTGTAACAATTCTGCCATACAATGGCAAAAATATATCTGTAAATTATGCTTTAATATCTCAAAGACAGAGAGTGTACATTTTTTAATCAGGACGTTTTTGTACATATTTGTACATAGTTGTTCCCGAACTAGAAAGTTTTGTGTAGCTCTTTCTCTATTACCGCCACACTATTTTATACTAAAACTTTATATACTATTTTAACTAACTCTTTATACACGCTATTTTATACTTACCTTCATCATATTTTCTTCGTTTGGTTTTCGTTTGTGATGCTTGTATTTCTGTAAGTATTGTATTGTAAAGTGAGCAGAATATTGCTTTGAAATAAAACCTATAACTATTTTTGGTGGGTGAAATGCATTGCAATATCATATAAGCAAATATAAATATTTGAAATCAATGAAGAAGCATTAAAACATATTCTCTTCCTATTCTTGTGATACGTAATAGTGTCAAAAGGTAAGCAAGGTAAGGAAAGAATATTAGTTAATTGCGTTCATTTCGAAAATTCGTTAATATAACTTAATATCAAATTTAATCCTTTTTTGCTCACATAATGTAAATTAACAGCCGAAGCAGAATCAGTTATAAATGTTACATGTTTGACAAGTTTGTAACTGCGAAGAAGTGATTTCTTTCAAAAATGGACCTCAGTTTTAATTCTTCCTAAATGTTGACTTATTACTGAATGTTGACGTAAGATGTTTTCACTCCTTTTTTTCGCCAGCTTTCGGGTTGTAACTGGAAATGTGTGGCAAGCAATCGGGACGTCTAGAGCTTGAATCCCGGAGAGCTTACAGCTGATTCTGCATGTTTCCCGGCTTTGAAAAGTTCCAAATGACTCTAAAGTGGAGCTTGAACTATAAAATACGGTGGACGATAATCCATCACAACCAGAGTTAGGTGACTGTATCCATGTCTACCCAGCTGACCTTTAAGTGTGGAAGAATATAAGAAATTTTATCTCTTCTTACCACTTGTCTTCGTGGTTTCAACTGAATGTTATTCCGGTCTGAATTCAGAAGGTCCGGAGTTTAAATTCCGGCGAGGACATTGCATATTTTTCAAGTTTCTTTTTTTGACAAAACCTAATGTTTCTAAAAATATTCTAACGTTTTAAATTAAGTGAAACCAAATATTTTGCTGATGATTAAGGCCAAGCAGAAATAATTTCTCAAGAAAGTTTTAATGTAATCTAAAACATATCTAAAGTAAAATGGTCATATAGTTTTACTTTTGCGGAGTTGCTGTCAACAGCCGACCCTAAATTTAACACACAAATTATGGTTGTTTCAAATGAATACCGATTTGCTTCTATTGTTAATGTCATTTTCACATTTCATCCTGCAGTAAGAAAAAGTAATGTAAGGCTTACTTATATAAGGTTGAAAGGCAATAAATATAACTGAAAAAGGTTAAAAAGTTTCTTTAATCAAAATATTCATTTAGTTGGTTATAAAAATAAAATAAAGATATAAACTATTAAGAAAATAGTTTTTAAATCACTCAATTTGTTGAGCAACTTACAGTTCTGGTTTTACAAATGAGTTAAAGGTCTCGTACTTCATAGAAGAGTAACATTATGGAAAGTGGCAGTTTGGTAGGCCACGCAGCTGATAAACGGCGTAATATTATGACATTAAGGAAAGAATAAGCTATAAACATTTCTAACTTATGAAGTCTCGACGTCGTACATAGATCTTAGAACGTTCATGTATCAAAAAGGCAGAATATTTTATTACTTAAACTGCCAACATACCTATTAATGTCATCTTTATGTGCAGCGTGTTTTTATTTTCCTTTAACTGGAATTAGGATATGTCTTTATTCTGGGCAAGATCGTTTTAAGTATCCAACTGCTTCTCCAAAGACTCAGTATTAGTCAGAAAATATAATTCTCAAGATAGATTTTTTTTTTTTTTTTTTTTTGTTTTTAAGAGATGAACAATCTTTCTCTATTTTTTTTCACTGGAAAGCAACCTGATGCCTTTATATTCAGTATAACTGATTGGATAAAATAAGTTGTTTTAAACTGACAGTAAGCCGACGGCATGCGGACCCCAGTATAATTCTATTTGAGTCCCGGAGAGGGCATTGTTCATTTTTCATCTCTCCCGCTTCCAAAATGTCTCTACAACGTATAAATTACATATTAATTGCAAATGGGAAGTTGCCAAAAATTAAAGACCGATTTTAGATTATTTGGAGTATCATTAAAAACAAACACGAACACCTCGCCAGAAAATCTATAAATGATGCTAATTAATTAGCAAATCTATTTAGAAGATTTGAAGACACAGATTGTATTATTTACTCTTGCGTCAATAAATAAATAAGCTCAGTTACGAATTTCTGCACTAAAAATAATCGCTTTATTAGCGAGTGCATTTATAAGTGAACATAGCTTTCCGTAGCTGAAATTAATAATAAGAATCCTATTGGAAAGACACTAATTAACGGATGAGTATCCATAATCCATGATGAAGAAAATTTCTAGTAATTTCTCTCTAAGATTGCAAACCTTATCAGACTAGAAAAGCCATCAAGTGTCAAAATGTAGTAAGAATTAAAGAAGTTTGTAATTACTTGCATTCAGAGATACTTATTTTTATCCATGCATCGAAGAAAAATTTAATAAATAGGAGAAAAAGGACTAGGCTGTTACTGCTCGTTCTCAAGTTTTGTCCTGCTTGAAAAACTTTCTGTGAAAACTTCGAAAGTGTTCATAATTATCTTCAGTTTAAATTAAAAATACTGAATGATTAATTAAACACGCTAGAACTATCTTAAACAAATATCAGTCTGAAAATTTAACATTTATCTATCAGTATATTTAAATAACAAAGCGTAACAAACAAGACTGTCTTGCAGGTAATCAAAGATTTAAAATTTCGGATAGAAAACAAATAAAAATTTGGCCTTTTTTCCCCCTTGCGATGCGATTATTATTGTGTATATATAGTTTGGCAAATATTTATTAAGCGAAATTTAAAGTTTATTTAAAATGCATCTAAAAATAAATCTGCCCCGTCAGCCATATTCAGATCGTACATTTGGCACGCATGTAGTTTGAGTATGATATCACTCGGTAAAGGAATTATAGAAGATAAGCCGAAATAAATGAAATTTGGATCCTAAAAACGTCGTTTGAAAAATTTTATTACGCAAGGCAAGTACTTGAAAAATCTAATATGAGAAATTTATTAAATAGTTTAATGTTGGTGCTCTCTATTCTAGATAATCATTGCTGAGCATAGTAATATTTCTTTTCTTATTTGATACAGGACAATACAGTTGCTTGAACGTAGTCTTCCACTTTTCTCGGAATCTCACTTATTATCTAGTGCGTGTGTATATGCCAACGGCCGCACTCGTTTTACTCTCCTTCGTCACATTTTGGTTGCATTCGCAGTTGACAAAGGTTCGTTTAAGTCTCTGGATGAGCAGCTTTATATGTTTCTTCATAGTCAGTACCTCAACCAGGAATGTCGTTCCCATATCATCTTCTACGACAGCATTAGATATCTGGATGGGAATGTGCGTTTCCTTCATGTTTGGAGTTTTACTAGAGCTCTCTCTGGTCATACATATGAATGAAAAATGTGAAGAGTCGAACATTTCAAGTGAGCAGATCGCAGAAGAGGTAATATTTTGCATTTTGTATCTTTAGAAAGTACCAAATTTTAAACATGATAGAAAAATCCCATGCATTGCATAGTTCTATCACTAATGAAGTTAGTTATTATAATGAATGTACAAGGAAAGCATTTTGTTATGCAGTGCTGTTTTAGCTTATATTCAACAACTACAACTGAAGCAGTTTTAAGCAGCAGGGAAGCAAAACTAACATTCTAGTGGAGCAAAACCAAAATTATTTGATGTAGGTAACAGTCAAATGAGTTTTTCAGTTCTTACAAAGCCAGCTCTTAATTTCGTACTAACCAACTTTTCAGTCATTACGATACCATACAAGAAAACATTCGTTAGACAGAAATTTTAATAAAAATATAAGCTTCCAACTTGACTATCGTGTTTTATCATTTAAATTAGTAGCGAAGGCTCAGGAATTGTTGTTAAAGTAATCACCTTATTACTGTACACATATCCTTAAAGCAAATGAATAAATTATACATAAAATTTATATAAGTGAAAATCAACACTACTTTAAAGATAGGAAGGAAGTTGGTTGCATTTCAAATTACAAGCTGTGATGTATCGAACCATAATCGAGAGACATCTTAAATAATTTGACATATGTCATTATCTCTGTGAATCTCATTCTAAATAGACAAGCAGTTATGATGGCCCGACTATAAAATGTCCAATTAGATAATCAAAGGGAATCAGTGAGGTGAACTGGCCACAGGATCTGAACATTAGGCGGAGGTAATATGTTCCAAAGTCTGTTACTTCATTTTTACACCTAAGAACTTTCAGATCGAAGGATTTTAACGAATTTGGCCTTGTGCTAAAGCATTGCAATCGTGAATGTCTATTTTTTATGCAGAATTTGAAACTGAACACCTTAGCAAGGTAGCCATGTTTACGGTCTCGGTCTCAAAGTGGCGAAATAATGGCTTGAGTTACGATGCAGTTTGACTTCTCCGTTATGGTGGCCTTCGTGAATCATTATAAGGACATCAGCATATGTTTAAATGAAGAAGTATCTTGTTCTAGCTCAAAATCCAGTTTTAATTTTCCTTCTTTGTGTATGTAGGTTTTTTAAAGTCTTTTCACTAGTTTCACTAGTTTTCACTAGTTTTTTATTAGTTGAATAACAGTAAATATAATCAAAAACAATAAATCATTCTGAGCGGGGCAACTAACTCATAGTATTAATTTATCGCTAAATATGATAAAATCACCAGACTATAATTGTTACACCCAGAAAAACTTTCAGTCAGAAATGTTTGCAAACTGCAGTGACAAAAGCCGAAACTACATTAATTAACTATCATTTAAAAAAATTTCATTACACAACGTATAAAATATTTTTCTTTTTATTAAAAAGGAAATCAAACAAAAACTCTATAACCCAAATCATTTTCTTTTCAAAGAAATATTTAATATGCATTACAAAAGTAATAAAATTGATAAAAAAATATTCAGAGATTAAATATGATGTAATTTAAATAAATGATACTATCTATTAACAAAATTTTATGAAAAAGTAAAATTTGCATTTCATCTTCAAATAAATCAAGTATACTACCATTTTTAAGCTTGCAATCTTATCAGATATTACTATAGATTTTTTAAGAATGTCTTACTGAAGCCATCAATGTATTTACTTTCCCGTTCTTCACCTTATTTTACATTAGCCTATTGTTCGGAAGTTTTATTTTTATGGAAGTTTTTGTTTTTGACTTGCATAAAAGGACGCCTGGTATCGATATTTCATTGCAAATGTAAAATTTTGAAAGCATACTCAATTAGCTTATTAAAAAAATTTCCATTATTTTAGAAATAATTTTATTTAAGGAACCTGAATCTATTTATTTGGCTGCTTCAGCAGTTTTGTCATTTGTAGTATTATTCCATTTTACAAGATGTAAGATTTCTTTCTGCGGATCAGTTTTAATTTGCATTAAAATATTGGAATAAAGTTGTTTAACAAGCTCAGAAAAGGTTTTGTGAAGTTAAATCATTCAATAGTTAAAAAAAAAAGAACAGACGTTTGCTGCAGCGTTTCAATGTTTATTGGAAGACGGCTTTTAAATATTTTTTCTGCATTTAAGAGAAGAAATACATGCCTTTCTTGAATCTTGCACAATTTTTCTGAATGGTTTTTGGTTTATAATTCATTTTCAATTCTATAATCTAAACAGGGATTAAAACTCAAATATTAAATAACATTAGTGGAGATATTAAACTTTTTTGCCAGAAATAAGAAGCTTGTTATAAAGCGTTTTTATTTAAATGATATTAAGTTAAACACTATTCTCTCAGAACTAGTTTTATTGCTTTTGAAATTCACGATAATAAGTTCATGTAAAATCGATTGTAAAAATAAAAGAAATTAATAATTTATTTCGTTATTATGCATCGCAATTAACTTTACGATGTAGCATCTGTATGTAGCAAAAAGAACACACCAAAGAACAAATATTAAAGGTATTAATAATTCGTAAAAAGAATCTGCTTAAGGTGCTTAAATTTTGAAGACTATATGATTTCAAAGGTTCATAGAAACTTTTTCAGCTGCAGAAGTCAAAATGATGGCAAGAGATCTCTTACATGGCAAAAACAGACCAAAATTTCGAGAATTCGTGAAGGAAAAGGACCGAGAAAATAATTTCTTGAGAGGCGGAGGGGAAAGAGGGATTAAAATTGGGGTTAACTAGAACTGAATACGTATAAAATGACTGAATGATTTTGATGAATGTGAAACCGCTTTAGAAATTCATTTCTTCAAAAGACGGTTTTTGAAGAATTTTAACTACAGAGAAAGGGAAAATGCTCTTTATTGAGACATTTAAGAGTTGACTTTGTTTGATCAATGTATATTAAGCCTTATTTGCAAAGAATGCTGTAGACAACTGAAAAGTTAATATCCGAAATGAGGTTTTTAAGTGTCGTTCTGCGAATTTTATTGGTACGAAAAAAATGAATCGAAAGTTAAACTTATGTAAAATACATGCCATTTTATCTACGAAATCGACGAAAACAAAGGAATTTCTATTAAATTCTTTAACACCTGAAAACGAAAAATATTTAATCTTGTTTGGAGAAGAACATATATATTAATCTTTCGATTGCGTGACATGAGAAACCTCAATATTATGAGGTTTACTAGTAGAGCTATGCCTCATCAGATGTGAATAACTTAATTCACTATAAGGATTAGGAAATTATAATTAAAATACATTACACACTTCCCTTTTTTGCAAGGACACAACACCACAATTCGTTAATACTGCTATGGCAACACGTGAAAGCAATTCCTTCCATCACAAGAATTAAATCCAAAACAAAAATACTATTTCTCTTTAATCTTAGTTGTTTCTCAGCTCTATAATTATTATGTTAAACAAAACTATTATATTTCTGACACAATACATTTTTAAGATTGAACTAAAAATCCAGGCACAAACGTGTAATTCAGTCAAGGTCTTGAACATAATAAAATAAATCCCTTAATTTAAAAGATTTTAAAACTTTTCCTGGTTTTGCAAAGTAGATTCATGTTTAAATACGAAATAAAGTTGTTGTTTTCTTTGATACAGTAAATAATTGACGAATCGAAAGGGAAAAAATAGAAAATAATCTCCTAAATTTTATCAGCATTTTTTATGTCTGGCAATATTTATTTATTTGGTTGATGCAAAATATAATGCCACTTTATTATTAATTCTTTCCTCTTTTGGGACAGTAGTGATTTGTGATCAGTCATTTAATTTTCAGCTCCTGAAATACTCCTTTTCCTACATCTTCACTTGTACGAGAGCTACTCAGCCGCAAGGGTTACAACACAAATATGCAATGTGTACGGAGAAGATGCTATTGTTCTGAAGAAAGATTAAAAATTTTTAACCGAAGCAAAATTGAAATTTTGACATCAACAACCCTCCCCATTTCAATTGCCCATCCCACTTGAATAAATGACTATCTGAACCACACTAATCATCATTAAATCACGTGCGAACAGGCCAAGAAAATGAGCAGTAATCAGACTACAGTTACGTGAGACATGCTGCAGCTCATAAAAAGAAGTTTTTTCTTGGATAAAGCACAGTCTCACAGAATACAAAAACCTAGCGTGCTGCGATATGCAGTTGTTTGCTCGTTCATTATGTCCAATGTTTTCATAAGTATAAAATTTTGTTGACACGTATTGCTATAAGAAATAAAAAGCCTTGCCTCTGTGTCGTAAATACTCGAGTACCCTATGCAGTTAAGGACCGCTAGCAATGTTTTAATACCTAACAAATAAAATATTGTTAGCCATATTTGCATAACTCAGTATAATTTCGTAAAGCAATAGAATTAGCTATATTTTGATATGAAATTATTCTGTTGGGCATTTCTTACTTTTTGCAAAAACGTCTTACATAAAAATGGCTTTAGTATGAGCATCAACCCAAATCATGCATACGTATCAAAATTAGCATTAACTTATTTTTATTTATTTTGACAAGAACTAAATGTATATTCTTTTTTTTTTAACAGAAGACAGTGAATGGTCTACTTCGTTTTATTGTGCTGTCTCTTCAATGGTTCAATAAATATTCGACGAAAGGACAACGAACTGATGCCATTGCACGTGTCTTATTTCCTTCTGTGTTTGCGCTGTTCAATTTTATCTACTGGCTGACATACGCGACTTGAACTGACCGACGTGAGTAACAAAGAGAAAGAAAACGTTTCTAACGGACAATAACGAAAGTTTACAGTTGAGAATATGCTTGAAAAAGAAAGGCTTATCACCAGCTTTATAACTTCGGTACAAATAAAGTACATCTGTTTTAAAATTTTGCATGGTCTAGTTTACTTTTAATTGTAACGTTATGGCAAATTACACTGGTGCTTAAAAAATAAGCAATAACCGCTAAAAGAAGAGGTACGGATGTAAAAAGGGAAATTGAAACATACAATTTACATATGAGGTAAGGGTTGCATTGCCGAAAGCAAATAGGCAACCAAAATTAGCTTAAAATGTAATATCGAGGTCACACCACAAGGAATTAAAAAGGGGCATGCTAGACCTGTGCGTCAGTTCCGCTGCGCGTCAGACCGACCGCTGTTCCGAGATAGGTCAATATGCATCATACTGTCATCAGTAGGCCGTGGAATCGTTTCCAAAGCGATCAAAACCCGTGTAGAAGACGTGAGTCTGGAACGGCAAACGATAGCTTTCTGTTGCTATCTTCAAGACGCCATGAATAAAGGAAACAACGTAGGTAAAAGAAAGATTTTTTTTAACTTTTAGCATTTTTTTATTCCAGAATTTTATTGTTGTTCTATGTAGAAAGCTTTTATAGGGAATCTCAAAAGTACAGTTGAAAGAAATCAGTCCAGGGAGTCAGCGGTTTGGTTGTGTTGATACCAGCGATCCCACTCCTTGTTCAATTCTTTCTGCTTTTCTCCCCATCTTTGCTGATTCGCTTACTGATTCACTGAACCGTTCGCTTACCAATTCACTTCAGTAAGCGAAGGGTTGCGATCTAATACCATAAAGGAGCGGTTTTGTTCATCCCCTAATCATTACGGAGCATGTGAAAACAACATCTGAAGCTGTTCTGTTACAATTCTCTCATTAGTTCCCAGTGTTGCAATCCTATGATCTCGATGGTTTATCTATCACATTCTTTGAGATAATACGTTTTCAAAAGACACAAAAATAATGATAAAAAAATATATCTACTAAGAATGTTCTCATTTTTACAAGCATTAAACATAATCAAAATGGAATATTAAATAATGTCAAAATGGTTAATAATAAAACAAAAATAATCTATTTTACTAATATTGTGCTCTTTCTTTTGTCATAAAATATTTTTAACTCGGTGTTATTGCATACGAGCAGACGTTATCGTAATAAAATCCATACACTGAGTTTCACTTTAGCTTTTGCAAATACAGGGGAGTCAGCAGTTACTTGAAGCTTTCCAGAACAAAATATTCACTTTGCTAGCAAAATAGCTACTGAGAGTTTTTAAGTTCCCAAGTTGCAGTTCTCAATTCAGTCTCATCAGTGAAGCGACCGGTAGTTTAGTTGCGCGTACGACTACAATACTGTATTCAAATTCACTTATAATAAATGTATGATAATCCTAATATTATAACAATACTACTAACGGCATCAACAATAAAATAATAATCAATATTTTAAATGCACAAAAGCAGTATTCATATGGCTTTTAAAAGTACGCATAGGTTAATTCTCTTTATTATACGAAGATCTTCTGGTAGCAAAGATCTCAGACAAATTTATAATATATTCCAATATGCTAAATTATACTATAAACTTGTAGACTAATATATATATAGTCACACTCTTCTAGTTCTGTTGTATTTTACGTCTTCTGATTCGTTATAGTTGAAGATAATATCAGAGGAGCTGCAGAATTATTGATGGTTCAGCTTCCTGAAATCGGGAGGCTTTAAAATCAGACACAATGCAGACAGCGAGGTATCTTCTGATACTTGTAGAATTTTGACTTTGTAATATCGAGTAGAGACATTTTTAATAGTTATTTCTTTTGTGATGTGTGTCGTTTTATACCTCTGAACATGTTAACTCTCTTGCATCGGCTTTTCGATTGCAAACTTTTGAGGGAAACCGCACATACGAATTTCGTAACTTTGTGTGGTTTACCACAGCTTGATACTTACGGTTTGCGCATGATAATTTTTTCAGCTTTTAATACTAATAAAAAAATACCACCACCTAGGAGCATGATTCCATATGAGTTTCCTCAACTAGTAGAAGTAAACTATTCATATAAGGGTGTTCGAAGAACCAGAAGCAAATATTCGAAGAAGAATGATCTACTTCGAACATTTGTTTCTATCTTTAAGCAAGGAACCTTTGTTATCAGCTGATTTTGAAGTACTACCTCCGATCCTGGCCAGAGTGCAGTGAAATCATATGGTGCAACTTCGTTCCCTCTCAGGTTTAGTGGTCAAAGATAATTCTCTATCAAGAAAATAATAATAAGTAAATAAATTCTTCTTAAGTTTCTTCTAAAGATTCATTTAATTATTACGTGCCATTGTAACGACATGAAAAGTGTGGATACCTAGTAAAGGACTTTTCAGGAGAAATTGTATTGTATTCAAGTTACACATGGAGAAAAGCACGAAAACGCTCATGCAGCCAGCCCGTTCGCCTGGATTCGAACACTTGAGTAAACTACCACTGTTCTGTGGTTTTTGCCGTTCAGTCGTTAGTGGGCCTTTAGCGATAAGTCATGCTTCGAAATGAAGTACGATGAGCAGCGAAGACGTGTCTGGTGATATCTAGGACCGCGATAATATTCTGATCTAAGTGCGTCATACAGCCCTATAACAGTAACCGCCAAGTGATATCCATCCAAGGTCGAGCAATGTGGAACTGAATGTCACCCCAGTGGGATTTTTTATGAAAAACAAAGGATATAAATATGTAAAGAAAAATAAAATAGGTACATAAAAGAGCGTAAAAAATTGCATGCATAAATTTTGCAATATTCCAGAACAATGGTATTGCAAATTGAACATAATTATTGTTATCAGTATCATTAATTTCAGTCATCTACACGTACAATACCGGCACGTACAATTACGCATATTTTTAAGTAAAGTACTATCATGTTTATTACAGACATTTACCTATGCAAAAACGCACTAGAAATCAATATAAAAGAGTGTATAAGAACAAATTTGAACATGAAAGAGGAGCTATGATACAATACACTTGAAAATAAAGGAAAGCAGCTTGAGTAAAAGCCTAAGATAAGCCAAAACCTTATTGATTTATTCCCTATATGTTGCTGTATCTCTTAAATAAAATATTCAGTTTCTTTAAAACTTTAATTCGTGACTTTTTACATACATATACATAACATCTACTGAAATATTTGAATAAATTCTTCTTGATGTGACGCTTTTTGTATCATTACAGGATAGACTAGTGTGATTATTTTCAGTGGTCACAATATATTATAATACTTGGATGCAAACAGAGATTTGAAATTTTAGAAAACTTTCGTTTCACAAAATCAAGAAAACGAAATTTTAATTCAAGAATTTTTAATGCATTACTTTCTTCATTAAAGCTAAATAATTTTCCTTTTTAGTGTGCAATCGTTCTATTCTACCATCCAAATTTTTAATAGGTTATATATATTAATGAACAGTATCACAGCAGATACATCAATAATGGCCGACTACAAGGCGTAAAGTGCACTTTCATTACATCCTTTTAAAGCCTTTAAACGTTACCTTTATGTCTTCTTGAGATTTATGTCGCATTAGCATTGTCTCTACCAACAGTCATCTCCGTGGCCAGTCACCAGTGGGAAAACTTAAAGCCCACTAAAACCGTAAAAAAATTTTGTTTGTGAAATAGATATCAATGGCTGGCGAAAGCTTGTCTATTTATTTAATATAACATTTTCAAGTATGAAAGCATTTCGCTTCTAACCAAACACCTTGTCAAGTTATAATTTTGAATAATCAGTTACTAATTTAATTGACCATTGACGCAAATAAATTTCTTTGTCTTCCAAAAAAAATTACTTTTAGTCAAGAATGTATGTTATTCTCAATTAATTTCGTTTTATGATGTCCATTTTTACTTCCATTCGCTTTTATTTATGCGTACTATTACGTAAGCATGATTGGATAAAGCTGTCGTGGAACTGAAAAATGGTTTATTTATCTCTAGAAGACCTATGGAAATCGCTTAAAACTGAACAGATATGTTTTGAAAAATAAAAAAACTAAGCTTATAGAAGACAAATAGGCTATAATTTCTTCCAAAAGTGTCTGCTAGCGCAGTCCAAACTAGGTTTCTAATCCGGTATATTAAAATGTGTGCGAAGGAGAGGAAAAAGAAGATTCTAGTGGAACAATCTGCTTTTACTGTACATTCTCAACACAACACGAGTATCAGAAACTATAAAATAATTCGCAGAGTGGCGGCTAATGTACTTAATAGAAGATTAGTCTATCAAACAAGAACTCATTGTTAACTGCATTTTCTTATTTTTATTACTTTCAAAGTGAGGGCAGCACTACGGAAATCATCTAGAAAACATAAATTCTAGAATTTGAAAAATATATTTCTAAAAATCTTTAAATGTCAACAAGCTTGCGAGAAACTGGTAAATGTCAGCTTGGCGATAATTCCGAATTTATGATTTCGCGTCTTCTCAAGTTATTTTTGCAAGCATATGGTCTGTTTAGACAGAATTAGAAGTAACACAAAATAATAAATGAGTTAAACTAGTCCAGACGTAACAAATAGCCACAAATAAAGATTACAAAAAATGCACAAAAAATGGACATAATATACGTGCACAAACACAATATTATAAAATCTGTACAAAACAATATAAACAAAGTGCAAATACATAGACGAAAATATTTATAAAAATTATACCACTGAACCTTGATTGATTTAAAAATTACTCTTTCCTTCTGCTCTAAGCAATAACTAACCTTCAACACCATGATATAGAGCATTTTAATAGAAGTGCGCTACTTTTCAGTTTAGAAGTAAGAATCTTCGTGTAGCACCACCATGGCTTTCAAGTTCTTTATGGCAAGTAAGGGTTACTTACTCCCAGGATGTCTTCACCTTAGGAAAGACCGTTCAACAATGTTTGAGGTTCCATAACTACATTTGGCCTCTTTTCAATCGTTGTACGTATTAACATCTCAGTCGTTGTATAATCTTTTTTTCTGCCAAACCATCAATGCCCTCTAAATGTGTTTGCAGTCTTTCAGGTATTGCGCAGACAAAGAGAAAGGTTGATAAGACGGTGTA